ACCTGTACTTTCTACTTCTTACATGTTGAACTCAAATACCTGTACTTTCTACTTCTTACATGTTGAACACAAATACTTGTACTTTCTACTTCTTACATGTTGAACACAAATACCTGTACTTTCTACTTCTTACATGTTGAACACAAATACCTGTACTTTCTACTTCTCACATTTTCCAAACAGCTGGTTCCTTTAGTCTGAATGTGTGTTTGGTGGCGTGGTCATTATTCTTTAGAGTCATTGCGTGCCTATTGATTTGAACACGATCCGTGTATCCATCATTTCCTGGTCTTCTCTAAAGAAGAGGGACCAATGGAAACGTTGATTAACTATGATTGCATCAACAGTAAAGCGTGTTTACTACCTGGTGATACGCCATTTGATTTAGTTGAGGGCTGACATCCTCCTGACTGTGGTCACATAGACGCTTCGTAATTTGGTCAAAGGTCTCTTGCCGTTCTTTGATTTGTTTGATTTCGGTGTCGGGACATTTGCCAAGAAATTCAAGATTTTAGTCGTCTTTAAAGTTACATTTTTCCATTCTTTGTGTAACTTGCTTTAGGTCAGACAATAACTGTGTTTAAAGACTCAGAGAGCTATTAGGTTTTTATACTATCCATATCTTCACTACTACTATCAAAAGTCTCTTGTTGTTCTTTGATTTAATTGATTTCGTTGAGCCAAGGAATTGAACATTAGCCAAGGAATTCCAGATTGTCGTCGTCTTTCAAGTTAAGCACTTTCCTTTGTGTCTTCATGTAACTTATCATTGTTTTTCACCATAGGATGTTTGTTTTCTTCTGGTTTAGCACCAGCTACCATAGAAGCGTCACCAAAACACTCCGACTAGCACACTGTAAATGTTCTGGACGGTGAATAAAAGGCGATTGGTAATTTTGTCAAAAGTCTCTTGCGGTTCTTTGATTTGATGGATTTTGGTGTTGGAAAATTCCAGAATCTTGTCGTCTTTCAAGCACAACATTTTTAATTTGCCTCTTTGTTTAACTTGCGTCAGGTCAGCCGAGATTTGCGTCTAAAGACCAGTGGCGAACCGTGTCTATCACAAATGGACCTTCTGTAGCCAGACACACACACCCTTCCCGCCGCCGTTATAATGTCCGTCTTTTCACTAAATTGTCGTCTTGAAAAGGGTGCTCACAACAATTCCGCAACAACATCATCTTCACCTGTTGCACTTGCCATTTCAACGTTAAAAACAATAAAACGGCAAATGAATTACTTCGCCACATTCATCTAGATCAGGGGTCTTCAACTCAAATTCAACGAGGTCCAGTTAGAGAAAATGTCCCCATGCAAAGGTCCGGAACATCAAAATGTCTAACTTGCTTCATGAATTAGTGTGATAGATATTGAAGTAGCTGTAGCTTTATAAACGTCTGCATGTAATCAACAACTGACTGCCAGTCAAATAAAGAAAGTACAATACAAAAACAACAATATTTATTGTCAATTAACATTACTTAAATACTGTGGATATGTGTAATGTTCCTCTCGGGCTGCATTTACAAATAAAATAGAGAAAATAAATAAAATTGCTTTTGAAAATATGTGCATCTTAAAAGTGCTTAATTTTAGATAAATAAAATAAAGTGTAGCAGCAGCTTGAGTTTCCCTTTTTCTTTGTTAACCGTTTCACATCATGACTTAACTGTTTCAGCCGATTATAGAACAATATCAGTCTTTACACATCATAACAATTGAACAGTTTTAAAGTTTCTCTTTCTTTCCCTCTTATATTGAAGTCCCTCACTCGCTTTTTTTAAATTCAGTGTGAGAATTGAGCTCGAGCTTGTCCTGCCAGGAGTTTAAATCTGGGCTGAAATTGTGTCAGGGCCATTCTCATACACATGCAGGTGCTCATTGGTTACAGTGATGCAAACACAGGTATGGTGAAAAAAGAGAGAACTATTCGAAGCAGGAAAAAAAACATAATATACCATCTGACAAAGGCCTGTGCTATAACCTTTTTCCTTTCAATTTTTACAACATCCTCCGAGGGTCGTACAAATTATTGAACTCAACCTCTGATTAAAAAAACTAAAATCACAGCCCATTCATTTCGCCTTTCTTTCATGCTGTGCAAAGAAAAAGCAACCTCTGAATCCAGATATCTCACGTATGCATGCATGTGCACGGTTGTGGCATGACCACCAAAACAGAAAGATATGGACACAAGATGTGTGCAAATGTATCCTATCCATGTGAACATTTAAGTGAGTGGGGGGGGGGGGGGACCTAACCTCCTCTAGGGGGGTCCGGGGGCATTTATTTTTTTTAAATATTGAAGTTAAAAGCATCAATCTGGTACACTTTGAGAGCAACATTAAGAGACCTATGGATACATCTTTCAACACCCATATGAAACAGAACTATAAGCATATTTTTCTTTTTGGATATTTTACAAATCACTCCCCTTTTAAACTCTATTCTTGTTATTTTTAACAACTTTTTTGTTACTGTCATATAGTATTTTATACCTGTTTTTCATTTAGTCTCATTAATAACTATAATGATCATATCAAGGTGTGCCTTAACCTCACTGAGCTGAGGTTATTTGAGCCTCTCAGGAGAGCTCTCTTCCACCTGGTTGTAGAAAAGCTCTTTAAATTCGTTAGCATAGCTAGCTAACCAGATGCTAATAACAACAGATCGCCACTGTGCTTACAACTATAAAGACACAGCCACGCAAACACTGCGGCATGTGTACGGCTCCTTATGGGTATTGCAATATTGTAAGGGCTGGAGCGGCGTTCCGGTGCTCTCTGTCAGCACTCCTTTCAGACGAGACATATACCACGTGAAGACACGTTACGCTCGTGTTGTGTTCAAGGAACCTGTCCTTGGCTAGGAAAAACAGGTACTCGCTTGTTTAATTATTTTTGCGGTCTAGATTTCTTCTTCTTTTTTGAAGTGAGAAGTTGTCCGTCAGTCGGCGACCCCTAATCTAATCTAGATCCTCTGTCTCGAGCCAGTTAACTAGCGGGCCTTCTAGAATACCCTGGAACCGAGGGGAACTCTGAAAGAATACGCCCATTGGCTACAAATCGATATATGATTGGTTGATCAAACTGTCAGTCCAAGCATACGCTCTCATTCAGTGCAACGGCCAGGGCATTCGATCAAGGATGTAGAATACCTTGGTTGAAGGATATTCTACCCAGAGACCCAGAACAAGATCTGATTGGTTGCTTTCTTTTCTAACACAACACCACTGAAATGCGTAGTGCATGGACTGAGAAGGACAAGCAAATCAACGTAACACTGTAATATTACAGATCAACAACACAGATACGATTCTCATTTATTCATTTTATATACATTTTATATACATTTTATTTATATAATTAAATCTAATTTTTTGTTTGTTTTATCTGAGTGTTCCAGGGTATTCTGTGAATACCTTGAAGGCCCTGACGGTTCGCCACTGCTAAAGACTGAGAGAGAAATCAGGGTTTTCTACTATCCATATCATCACTTCTACTATCAAAGTGTCTTACCTTTCTTTGATTCGATTGATTTTGGCGTTGGACACTAGCCAAGGAATTGCAGAAATTTGTCGTCTTCCAGGTTAAACATTTCCATTTGCGTCTTCGTGTAACTTACAATTCTTCTTCACCCTAGGATGTTTTGACACACCTACTCGCATGTTGAGAGACCCTTATCACACACATGATGTATCGGACATTATTTGTATTTGTATTAGGAAGCTGTTGGGTAAAGTCTGTTTAATATCTAGTCCGAATGATTCGGACATTTTCACATTTCACATACATTTTCTCTGGTTAATGTCCAGATAACTTCAGGGTTGCACTTGTGTCATTCTGACAATTCACCATGTTTAGAAGCATGAATATCCATGAACACAAACACACCGCTGTGCATTGTGTTGACTCAGCCGTGCTCAATAACAAACCCATGTCACATAACTGCAATGTTGTCTAGACCAGCGCTTCTCACCTCCTCCTCTTCTTCTGTCCGGTGGCAAGACTTTCATATCAGCGATGAGTATTGTTTCTGACTGTGTCAATGTTTTGGATGGTAGTACTTTCTGTATCTCTCATATTCAGATTTGTGATCAGCTCTATCGAAATCAGTCGGATGTCGCAACGTTGCATTTCGAGATAATCATTGGTTTATGTCCAAATGTGTGTTCGATGATTTTGGGGTTTTGGTTTATTCTTAACAAAAGTCTTGGCTTTCTGAATATCATACTTGTATTGCTATTTTCCCACATAAATATGTTTTTGAAGCTTGTAAAGAATGCCCGCTCTTAAAATAACTATGGCTTAAACGTGTCGGCAAACTTTCAAATGCCTTTTTCTCTCTTGATAACATTCCTTATGGTATTTCAAACATTTTCATGAATATTTTAAAAACATAAGCAATTGGGATATCACTGGAAAGCTAAGAATCTCCTCTTTCCAACGGTATATGTAACTGTATGACATTATGTAGTACGGGGTCGGATGTGACTGATTTTGATAGAGCGGCTCACATTTATCCTCTCCAAGGGACTTAGTTAGTGAATGTTTTATGTACAGCGTGTCCATATTGGTTCTATTTCTAGTGCATTCCTTAACCTTTATACTTGATATTAAGAAGGTTATGTTGAAATTGCACCGCTCTTACACAGCTATAATAAAACAAATTATTGAAAATGATCAATGAGATTAAGGACAGCAGCTTCAAGTCCCGAGAATTTGCTCCAGCCACCCCCGTGTACAAACTCATTAAAGGAGTCATAAAGGCGACTAATGAAAATCATGACCGGTATCATTACAAGCCCACTGGTATCCTCTCGCGAGCGGGAGAATAAAGGAGGCTAAATTAATGTTCCCACCAATGCCGTCCTTTAAGCAGTGTCTGTTCTCCTCTGTGTGTAGAGCCAACTCAATTAAAGTTCAAGCCGATATTGTTACGTAACCATTTAACACTCTGCCTCTTTGTTCCCTTTTGTCATTTTTTAAAAAAATTTATAGGATGACGACTCCATGTTCTTTCAATTCGGCCCGTCCATCGAGCAGCAGGCCTCGGTCATGCTGAACATCATGAAGGCTTACGACTGGTACATCTTCTCCATCGTCACCACGTACTACCCGGGGTACCAGGACTTTGTCACCAAGGTAAAATCACTCGGAAAGACAGCATATAGTCAGGATGTAAATGCAGAATCACACAGGACAGGACAGGAAAGAGTTTCTCTGAAAAAGTACATATAGTTATAGAGACAGGTTTGTTAAACATTCAGCATTTGGTACGACCCCCACAATCAAGCTCTAACAATTTACAATTACTCTATGTTAGTGTGATCAGTTTGGTACCTTAAGATTTGATTCAATTTATTTTATCAGATTCATAGTTATCCCATGGAAATTGGGTTTTTGTCATAGTTGCTCTACTTTGGAATAAAATCAAATAATAGAAACGGAATAACAAATGTACATGAACACAATAAGTTATGTTAAAGTAAGTATATGAAATAAAATAGAGATATTTATATCAAAATAAACAGTTAAGGGGAAAATGTGCACATTTTACTACAATATATATATTCTAGATTACAATAAATACAGTGGTGCATTAGTATTAATAAGATATTTCGATGTCTCTGTCTGTACACAAAAACTGAAAGATTGACAATAAAGTTGACTTTGACTTAATGCTGAATTGAACAGTTTGAAAGGTAGTTCATACTTAGAGACACAATACTTAGAGAGTGTTGATGTGCAGCATAACAACATTTTTAAACATCCTAATTTTTTTGTGAATCAATTCAAAATCTTAGAATATAAGAAATTCAATTTTCAGCCCTACATTTTGCATTTAATTAAGTACCAGTCCCTCTCTTCTGATCCATGTCTTCTCCCTGCAGATCCGTAGCACCATCGAGAACAGCTTTGTGGGCTGGGAGCTGGAGGAGGTCATACTGCTCGACATGTCCGTGGATGACGGAGATTCAAAGATCCAGAACCAGCTGAAGAAGCTCCAGAGCCCCGTTATCCTCCTCTACTGCACAAAGGAGGAGGCCAACACCATCTTCGAGGTGTCCCACTCTGTCGGGATCACCGGATACGGCTACACATGGATAGTGCCCTCGCTGGTAGCTGGAGACACTATTGTAGTGCCTGCAGAGTTCCCTACTGGTAGGACATCTCTACTCAAATACTATTCTTAAAGGTCCCCTATTATACTGTTTTTCATCAATATATTACAGGTCTCAGATATACACAAACATGTTTCTGAAGTGTTTGGCTCCAAACACCAAACAGATCATTGCAGCATTACCCATCATTCCCTCTGTTTCAGCCCTGTTTCCAAAGTGCTGATTCACTGTCTGTTACTTTAGATGAAAATAAGGAGCCCCTCCCCACGCCCCTCTGAGAGAGATTTGGTTACAAAGAACTCAATGGTGCTCTAGGAGGAGATTCAGGTGATAAGGGGGGGGGGGGGGGGGGGGGGGGGGTTTACCTTGGTTGCTGATTGGCTAATGGTTACACAAGACAAAACATCGTTATGACATCATAAAGTGGCCAAAATCTGATCAGCTCATTTTCAGACAGGTTTTTATAGAAATGGATCAGAACAAAAAGAGAGAGAATCTTTGTTCCTGAAACTTTCAGAGTCTCTTTACACAGAGAGGACACATGTTGATGTAGAAGAGACATGGAGAAGAGGGGACACATGTTGATGTAGAAGAGACATGAAGAAGAGGGGACACATGTTGATGTAGAAGAGACATGAAGAAGAGGGGACACATGTTGATGTAGAAGAGACATGAAGAAGAGGGGATACATGTTGATGTAGAAGAGACATGAAGAAGAGGGGACACATGTTGATGTAGAAGAGACATGAACAAGAGGGGACACATGTTGATGTAGAAGAGACATGAAGAAGAGGGGACACATGTTGATGTAGAAGAGACATGAAGAAGAAGGGACACATGTTGATGTAGAAGAGACATGAAGAAGAGGGGACACATGTTGATGTAGAAGAGACATGAAGAAGAGGGGACACATGTTGATGTAGAAGAGACATGAAGAAGAGGATTTAACATAATAGGTGACCTTTAAAGGCTCCCCATGAAAGTTGTAATTAAGATCCAAAAACCCTACAACTGTATATGGAACGCCATAGTCAGAATTAGGAATTTAAACCAGATCTCATTTTAATCTGACACAATCTCAGTGTGGAAAGATGTTTGCTTGCCTTGAGCTCAGATGCTAAGCCTTTTGTAAGCACAGCAATTACATTACATGCTGGATTTGTTTGATTTGTATCCACAAGGGGTGACAAAAGTACCATAAACACATGCACTTTCTACCTATGTGGTCTCAGTCAGATCCCAGACCCTATACTGTTCTTTGATTCTGCGATGCTATCCTCTACTACGGGATGGTTGAGGTTTTAGTGGTATTCGGAATAATCAAATATGTAGCTAGAAATGTATTGTTATGACATCTGAGAATTTGTTCAGCCATACATCCATTGTATGCTGAAAAGTAGAGTTAAAGCCCCAAAGAAGTGAGCCTGTCATTGAAGCACTTTTTCTGTAGTGGCCAAATGCTTTTTCTACAACTTTTGTGTCAGTCTGTGATGTCATTTGGGTCCAAAATACATTTTTCTCATGAATTGTGAGATGCATTGAGTTCTCTAGGTTTAATTGCTGGAAGATCTTTGGAAAATCCAGGTGTTTTTTTTACACGAGAGTCAGGCCAAACTCTGTCCATTATATGGATCCTGTGGTTGCAATGCTAACAGCTAACAGGAAGCGCTGAAGCAGTAACATCATGTTGTTGTGGTTGTGCTCTTGTCTTGATTCAAAACAGTCTCACAGCATTTTGTGTTATAGTCACAAAATTAATCTATTGATTCGTGTTCACCAACACGATTTTGGCATTTATTTTGTGTCACACAGAACGATTTTAAAAGCAATGTAAATAATAACAAATTTGAAGGAAAAAGAGATTTAAAAAATATACAGATTTCAGTATTCTGACACAGAACGATTTTAGAAGCAATGTATTTCTATTGGTAGTATGTTTTGTACCTGCACATAATAATAATAACAAATTAGAAGGACATTTTTTTTTTTTTTAAATACAGGTTTCAGTATTCTGAGGCTCTGAGCCATTTATTTTCCTCGCAGACGTCAACAAAACTCCGACATTATACAATTTAAAATAAAAGGGATAGGGTTAGGCTTAGGGTAAGATATTGAGTAAGAAAATGTTTTTATGAACCACACAGCTTCTGGTCTTCCAAGACCCGACCGGACAAAAAGACGTGGTGCAGGCACGAAACATACTACCAATAAAATATATTGCTTTTAAAATCGTTATGTGTGACACGAAGAAAAAGCAAAAATCGTGCTGGTGAACACGAATCAATAGATTAAATTAATTTCGTGACTATAACACGAAATGCCATGAGACTGGGTTGCTTGATTACATGTTTGCTGTGTGAGTTGATACACGTACCATTAACCTTGTGTGCAAAACGAGCCACCATTTATTAATTAAGCAATATTTGATTTTCTAAAACGAACGTTGCTAACTAGGTAGCTAACAGCCGCAACGGTCACTTCCGGTGAGGGCACATCAGCCATGTGTGAAATGTTCACACTACACAAGTGTTTAAAGTGCAAGATATGCAGTGTATTAAGGGAAGTATAGGCATAGGTGATGTTAGCCTGCTGTACAGTGATCTAATGCCTGGCGTTGACACCACAGAAACATCATCGAGCCTTTTGAAATGTTTCTTTCCAAATGTTCAGTTTGATATTTAGATTTTTGTTTTGTGTGAAAAACAAACTGACCTTTTAACATAAGCGGTAAGGGAACATCTCTCCCCGCAGTCCTCCCCTTTACACCACTGGAGGTCATTCTAACCTTTGAAGGTCAAATGTGGAACCAAAGTGACATCCAAGTTGGGGCGCATTAACTCTGAACCTGCTCACGCAAATCCGTCAGGGACACCTGTCAGACTGCTTCATGTAACAGGACTTTCAGTACTTAGGGGAACGGGGGCAGACACTTTTAGAAAGGCCAGCTCTCAGTGGGAGTCTAACTGTTAGTGATGGGGCCACCATTAGGCCTCGTTCCCACAGAGCGCCTTTTACAGGCATAAATGCTCCCTTCAACTTAACGTCCAAAAACACTTTTTTTTTTAAGAGGCCCTATTATGCTTTTTGGTGTTTTCCCTTTCTTGTAGTGTGTCATATGTTTTTTTTGTTGCATGTAAATGGTCTGCAAAGGATACAATCCCAAAGTGTCCTCCATATGTCTCCTTTGTTAGTGACATCACTATGTTATACTCGCTCTTCTATTGGCTAGCGCTCCAACACATTGTACGTGATAGGCTAAGGGGCGGGACATCTCTAAGTGGTTGACTAATCACAACAGAGCTGGCCAGCTAACCAATCAGAGCGGACTGGGCTCTGGTTTCAGACAGAGGGTGGAAAGAGGTGCTGCAGCAGGAGAGGACTCTTTAAAGTAGAGACACTACATACTGATATACACCTGAACATCAGCAGGAGAGGACTCTTTAAAGTAGAGACACTACATACTGATATACACCTGAACATCAGCAGGAGAGGACTCTTCAAAGTAGAGACACTACATACTGATATACACCTGAACATCAGCAGGAGAGGACTCTTTAAAGTAGAGACACTACATACTGATATACACCTGAACATCAGCAGGAGAGGACTCTTTAAAGTAGAGACACTACATACTGATATACACCTGAACATCAGCAGGAGAGGACTCTTTAAAGCAGAGACACTACATACTGATATACAACTGAACATCAGCAGGAGAGGACTCTTTAAAGTAGAGACACTACATACTGATATACACCTGAACATCATCAGAAGAGGACTCTTTAAAGTAGAGACACTACATACTGATATACACCTGAACATCAGCAGGAGAGGACTCTTTAAAGCAGAGACACTACATACTGATATACAACTGAACATCAGCAGGAGAGGACTCTTTAAAGTAGAGACACTACATACTGATATACACCTGAACATCAGCAGGAGAGGACTCTTTAAAGCAGAGACACTACATACTGTACTGATATACACCTGAACATCAGCAGGAAAGGACTCTTTAAAGTAGAGACACTACATACTGATATACACCTGAACATCAGCAGGAGAGGACTCTTTAAAGTAGAGACACTACATACTGATATACACCTGAACATCAGCAGGAGAGGACTCTTTAAAGCAGAGACACTACATACTGATATACACCTGAACATCAGCAGGAGAGGACTCTTTAAAGTAGAGACACTACATACTGATATACACCTGAACATCAGCAGGAAAGGACTCTTTAAAGTAGAGACACTACATACTGATATACACCTGAACATCAGCAGGAGAGGACTCTTTAAAGTAGAGACACTACATACTGATATACACCTGAACATCAGCAGGAGAGGACTCTTTAAAGTAGAGACACTACATACTGATATGAACCTGAAAATGAGCTTAATAGAGCCCCTTTAATGATTCTATGATAACACTGCTTTTGGACAAACTAGCTCCGCCCCCTCAGATTTTATTATCTATTTTGGCTGCTTCACATTTGTTTGACATAGTTTTTTCTCCATAACAACCAACCTGAGGATGCTTTCTCTCACACTTCGAATAAATGAGCTTCACAGTAGAGCGAGGATTGACTTAAGATTTTAAAAACACTACATTCAGTGTCCGCAAGGCCAATCTGCTCAAATAAATTGTCTTTGTTATGATGGATCCCACCTGAAAGACACAGCCAAAAACAAGCTTTCTCGTCAAATGTCTACAGTGGGGTCACCTGTGCTTTTTCTAAAAAGTTTGAAGCTTAAAATCTCAAAGTGCTCTGAGGCCAAGCACAACAATGGCCAAAGGGTTCAGAAATAAAATACACTTTCTCTTGAGGTGGCTCATGAGGTGGCTCACTCTTCAATAAAAACGATTGAAAAAGATGCTTGTGCTCAGGAAAACCATCTGTCTAGACACAGGCTTTTGACACATTTTTACTCTCAGTACGACAGAGACATCTCAGAGCAGGTAGTAAATGTTGGCCTGAAATATGAACCTGATAATTAGTTTGGTGTTTGGCTTGTTGATTTACAGCGAAGGGGA